GGGAAATGTGTTACAGTCCTCATGGACAACACCACTGCCCTCAGTTATGTCAACAAGCAAGGGGGCACTGTCTCCCTATGCCTTTGCAACCTTGCCATCCAATTATGGGACTTCTGCATCACCCACGACGTCTTCCTAGTCGCCACGCACATCCCGGGGCACATGAATGTACAGGCAGACCACCTGAGTCGAGCAGGACTCAGTCTCCACGAGTGGGAAATGAATCCAACGTACCTTCTTCCACTCTTCCGAAGGTGGGGAGTTCCCCAAATAGATGTTTTTGCCACCAGAGCGAACAAAAAGTGCCCTCTGTTCTGCACCCAAGATGGCAGGGACCCACAGTCTCTAGGGGATGGTCTCCTCTATCCATGGTCCAGAGGGTTTCTCTGCCTCTTCCCTCCGCTGCCCCTGCTTCTTAGAGTGGTCCGCAAAATCATCACCGACAGAGCGGACTGCATCCTCATAACCCCTTGGTGGCCGCGGCAACCATGGTTCTCAACCATCCTCCACCTGTCAGTGGGGGTCTACCACCAATTTACTCCGGCACAGGACCTCCAGTTCCTATCCGAGTCCCCTCTCCTATACCACGATGTGCCATGAATGAAGTTGACAGCCTGGAGAGTAGCATCAACAGCTTTTGCACCCGCATAGCAAATGTCTTGCTAAACTCCAGAAAGTCCACTACGCGAAAGTCGTATCATTATAAGTGGCAAAAATTCTGTTCCTACTTGGGTGACGATGCCCCTTGAGCCACCTCTGCAGGTCTCGAGAAAGTTTTCAAATTCCTCCTGTCTCTCGCTGACTCGGGACTTCCACATTTCTCGTTAACGGTTTATTTGGCCGCACTTTCGGCCTACCATGTTCAAGTTGAGGGATGCACACTGTTCTCGCATCCAGTTTCTAAACATTTTTTGAAGGAACTGTTGCACCTCTACCCTCCCATCAAAACTCCTGTCGTCCCCTGGGACCTTCCCCTGGTCCTTCGCCAACTCACCAGGAAACCTTTTGAGTTGCTCGCAAATTGCGACCTAAAATTCCTGTCGTGGAAAACGGCCTTTCTGGTTGCTGTCACTTCAGCAAGGCGAGTTGGAGAAATACTGGCATTCAGACATGACACTCCTTACTTGTCCTTTTTGCCAGATGGCGTCTGCCTCGTACCTGAGATCTCGTTCCTGCCAAAGGTAGTGTCAGAATTCCACCTACAGGCAGAGGTCTTCCTCCCGGATTTCTTCCCGGCTCCGACATCCTCAGAGGACAGACTGTTACACACGTTGGATGCGAAGCATGCACTTCTGTTCTACCTGACTCCCAACTGTTCGTCTCCTATGCACCAGCAAGACTGGGGACTCGCATCACGGCTCAGCGTCTCTCAAAGTGGATTGTGGGTCTCATCCGCCTCTGCTACCTGATCGCCAAACAGCCATTGCCAGGCCCAATCAGGGCCCATTCTACTCGAGCTGTTGCGGCTTCCCACTGCCTTCCTCCAGGGAGTTCCCCTGACGGACATTTGCAGAGCAGCAACGTGGGCTACATCTAACACCTTCATAAGGCACTATGCCCTAGACGTCCGAAAGAACTCTAGTACCAACATGGGATGTCACATCTTATCTTCGGCTACGCAGTAAGGACCTGCCAGCACCCTCCTCCAGGTAGGCCACTGCTCGGATTTGCGGCGGTTCGAAGGAACTGGCGGGATGTCGGTGCCCACCCCCTGGGCATGCACGGTGGGGTTCCTGCGCATGCCCGAGGGACTGGGTGCGAAAATCCATTAAAGAGCTTGCTACAATGCCGATCGATCCAGCGCATGCGCACTAGATCCCATGGGTGTGAATGCACAGATGACCACTCGAAGATCATCAGTTACAGGTAAGCAACCTGTTTTTTAAGCTCTTTTATAGAAGGTATGACTTTTGATTTCCAACGTTTTGCAACAAGTATTCTAGCCGCTGTTAATATATAGACAATTATATAAGTGTTGTCTTTTATTTTATCAGGTATCATATTAAGTAAATATGTTTCTGGTGTTAAAGGGATATTAATTTTTAATATATCTAAAAATATCTTATAGATTTTTTCCAGAAAATTTGGATTTTGTCACATCTCCACCATATGTGGATGTATGAGCCTATATTCCTTTTGCATCTCCAGCAGATATTGGATGATCTCGGGAAGCATTTCGCAATTTTTTCGGGAGTCCAATGCCATTTATAGAATAATTTATATATATTCTCCTTATAGGGGGTCGCTCTCATATATTTTAAAGCTTTCCAGGTTTTTAGCCATTGATCTGTTTCTATTGAGTGGCCAATCTCATTCATTGATGTTTTTATGGTCTCGGTTTGTAAAAAATCGTCTAATAATTTTTAATACAACTTCTGGATTAATTTATCGCTTGATGAGAGCCATATTTTATCAATTTCATTTGGACTTGTATAAAATCCATTTTTAAAATCTTCATTATATCTTGATTTCAGTACATTTTTTTCCCACCAGGAGAGATCTATGTTTTGTTTTAATAACATCTCATCTGATTTCAGTTCCATTTTTTAATTTAGTAAATTACCATAGGTTTCTTTGTTTTTTCCTATTATTAATGTGGGTTTTGCAAATGCCTCTATAGGTGAAATCCACATTGGTATTTTAGTATAGTTTTTGTCTTTTATTAAGTTCCAGACTTAATAGTTATATTAAGTTATATGTGTATGGAAATTGGAATGATTTTTTTTCTTTTCCATGCCATAAATAGACGTGCCATCCCATTACTAAATCCCTCCCTGAGGGTTAGATGTACCGGGTTGGGCCACCTGACAGATAAAATCTCCCCCCACAAGGGTGTTAGGCAGGGGTGTATGTTGGCACCAGCTCTCTTCAACTTCTACATTAATGATGTTGCTGGATATCTTAATGGTACAGATCTCCATCCACCCAAATTGGCCCAGCGCCCTATTCCTATACTTTTATATGCTGACGACGCTGTTATTCTTTCTAGAACTTCAATTGGCCTGAGAAGGGCATTAAATAGATTTGCCAGTTATTGTAGTGATCAGAAATTGATTATTAACGATGGCCTTTGGCAGGAGACCTAAGTTAAGAAAGTGGAGTATAAATGATCAGAATCTTGAACAGGTAACCAACTTCCGTTACCTTGGTATGATTATCCAAGCCTCGGGCTCTAAGTTCGCTCATAGTCAGGCAGCAGCATGTACGGGTGATAAATCCGCCCAAGGTATTCTCAAGTTTTTCCGTTCTACAGGGGGCTATTTTGTGCCAGCAGCACTGAAACTCTTTAAGGCTAAAACATTAGCCCAGATGCTCTATGGGACGCTACTGGGAGTGACATCTTCTTGCTATGCCCCACTAGAGCTGGTTCAATCGAAATTTTTGAGATCTACTCCAAGGTGTGTTACAAATGCAATGGTACGGCTAGAGACTGGCATGATGAAAGTTGAAGCCAAGATCACCTTGTACTCTATTTTTCTTTGGTTAAAGATAAACCTAAATCCATGTGGCCTTGTGCCCTTAATCCTGATTGACGATTACCAATCTGAATGGCTGACCCATACTATTCGGAAAATTACACTACTAGGGTTTTCCCCCAAAGAGCTTTTGGAAAGGGGGGACGTTCAAGCTAAGCTAGTGGTCAGGCAGAGGATTGAAGATATTGAACGCCAACTGGACGTACAGGCGACCCCTGCCTTTTTAGCGCCTTACAGTAAGAGATAGAATCCCAGGAACATGTCTTCCTGAGATACCCAATATATAACGAAGCTCGCACAAAATGTATTGGTCCCCTCTTGGTTGGCTCCTCTGATCAGGATAAGATAGAGAAATTACTTTCAAACCCTGACCATACAGCGATACACCAGATAGCAAAATTCTGTTTTCTGGTTGTAAAAGCTCATCAGTGTTCAGGTAGCCACTTGGGTTAGATTCCCTCCCAAATAACTGATTTTTTTTATTCTCGTTCTTTTATCTTTTTAAGACTAAATTTTGTCCTTTTTACATTGTATTGTTGGTTTTAGATTTTAAAATGCTTGTATAATTTTACATAAATAGATTCACCATCTGGACATTTTAGATATTGAAATCCAGACATTGCAAAATTTTGCTCCTTGGTCGTAAAAGCTCATCAGTGTTCTGGTTGCCACTTGGGATAGGACTGTTTGATTTTAAATCTTATTGCCTTTTTTGTCATTCTATTTTACTCCTTTTAAATGTGTTTCATTGCAGCGTATTCCTAAGTCTGGTTTTAGTGATCAAAATGACTGCATAATGTTGTTCCTTAGTAACCTTGTTTTTTTTAAGGTAGTTTTACCATTTGGTTATTGTAAGTTACTTCTATGGTTTTTTATAATTGCTGGCTATGCGCTGTAACAATAAAATTCATTCATTCATTACTAAATCAAATCCCTCTAGAGCTAATGTCCTTATATCTTCTAATATAGCCCATTCCCTAATCCATCCCATGGAGGCTGCAAAATAATATAATTGCCAATCATCCATTCTGCTTTCAAGCTTCCTTCTGTTTCAGAATTTCCCAGTGAACCGGAAGCACCGAGGCGGGGTATTGCAAAACACAAGTAGCTCAGCATTGTGTTTTAGTGGAGGATACCTTTGTCTTTCTGTGATCTTTTTTTTGTTGTTGTTAGTCTACTGTGGTAGCAGCTGCTTCCATGGATCTTGCAGACCATTTTCTGTAGTTGAAAGAAGTCTGTTGGGTCAGGATCAAACGCTCTTCTCTGAGCACCTCTTGCATGAGAGGGTGACATTGCAGTACCTTCAGAGAAGGCAAGACCTTGGCTGTACTGCATTCTCGATACCAGCAGAACATAATGTGAATGGCTGGTTACTGTTGGTGAGTTTACAATGAAGTTGCTTGCACAGAGGACAGCCACAGCATGTGGGTGAAGTACTTGAAGGAAAAAACAAACAGTAGCTCTCTCTCAGCCTATGAATACATAAATATTTTTCTTTTGATGATCTGCTTGTTGCTTTCAAAGGAAGCGAGCGGCCTGCAAATCTGTGAATGGTTCTCATAAATACAAAGGGAATTCCAAGGATGTCAAACCCCCTGACCTTTGGATCCATCATGAGAGGCTGGAGCTGAAGCCCATAGACAAATCTCCAGATCCCAACCCGATCATGACGGACACCCCAATCCCTCGTAATTCCCAAGACATTACCCCAGTCGATAACTCTATGGACAGCAATATCCATCAAAGACGGAATTCTTACAGGGGTGAGTTTTGGTCATGTCCAAGCTAAATTTTATACATAGTGTTTATTGTACAGTCAGAGATTATTTGTAACTCATAGATTGTAAGTAAATATATCTTGCTAAGGTTCTCTGTTTTGTTAACTAATTTTATTTTTTTTATTTGAACATTTATATCCTGTCTTTTCTCTTGGTTCAAGGCAGCTTGCAATAATAGTTAGAGCATCCCCAGTTAAAACCATAGCAAGCCCCAAACCCCTTCCCCTCTCCCAAAGGTGCCTGCTATTGAACCCGCTCCCCCAAAAGCCTTGGCAAACAGGCAGGGCATGCAGTGCCTCCTGACAATCTCCAAGGAAGGAGGGGTCTCCTCTCACTTTTTCAGGGAGCCCATTCCATAGAGCCAGAGCTATGATGGAAAAGGCCGAGGCCCTGGTTGATGCCAGCTGGGATATCCAGCAGATGGCTGCCAGAGGACTGTAGAAGGCGCAGATGAACATGTGGAAGGAGAGGGTCCTTCAGATTTGTAGGTCCCAGATGGTGAAGGGCTTTAAAGGCTATAACCGGCACCTTGAATTGAGTTCAGAATTCAGACTGGCAGCTAGTGTAGCTGTTTCAAAATGAGCAACATATGTTCCTGGTGGCTAGCTCCTGACCAGCAGTCAGGCTGCCACATTCTGGACCAGTTGTAGTTTCTTCAGGGGCAACCCCACATACAGCATGTTTCAGTAATTCAGCTGTGAGGTTATAGAGTTACGAATCAGCATGGCCAGAACAACTAAGTCCAGATAATGAGAAAGTTGGTGAATAAGATGGAGCTGAGAAAAGGTACTTCTTGGGCCACCATGCCACCCTGCTCTGCAAAAGCTAACATTACTCCACCTGTGACAAGGGGGTTCAGTCCCTCTAGAGCAGAGGTGACAAACTCATTTGTCATGAGGGCTGGACCTGACGTAAATGTCACTTTTTGGGGCCGGGCCATGTGCGCCATAAAATATAATGCCAGGTGCCAGAGACATAAACTGTATAAAGGGCAGCAGCTGGTAAGCTCTGAGTTGGTATATCCTCACTGCAAGGCCTCATGGGTCTCCTTGAGTGTAATGCTCATGTATATATGCACTGAAGGGAAGTCGTGGCATGGACTCCTGGCGTGAAAGACCAGAGGGCAGAAGTTAGTGGGATTAGTTTGAATGAAGGGCAGCCTTCTCCCAGCTCTGCTTATGGTTCGTTCTCTCTCTCTCTCTCTCTCTCTGTTGTGGATTTGTTCTGATGATTTCCCATTGAAATTTTGAGAAACTGCACAAAACAGGCCCTGTAGAGAGAGGCTTCTTTTTAGGGATTGTGTGGCAGTTGTGGAAGGGAGGCAGAGGAGCTGCTTTTGGCGTGTTCATTTAGATCAGGGGTGTCAAACATGCGGCCCAGTGGCTGGACCAGGCCCCCAGAGAGCTTCTATCAGGCCCGCAGTGGAACTGGCTGTCTTCTGCTCCTTCTTCCAGTTCTGCTGCTGCGGCGTCATCGTAGGTTTACAGCTTACAGATACACACCTGAACAGCATACTCAAGATTGCAACAGCACAGACATTTTGATAAAATAATTCACAGCAAGAGGTGTCAGTTATCAGACACTGTTAAATAAGCAAAATGTTGCAAGAGAGCTAATGTTTTTAGCATGTTTTTATTTTAAGTAAAAAAAAGCCCTCTGTTTTTGTGTCCTTTATAAAGTCTATATCTCCGCTACCTGGCATTACATTTTATGACACACGTGGCCCGGCCCAACAAGGTCTCATTTCTGTCAAATCCAGCCCTCTTAACAAATGAGTTTGACACCCCTGATTTAGATCTTGCTAGGAACTGTCCAGCTGTGTTTCTGAATAGCTGCTCCTTTTGAAATAATCTCACAAACATCAGTCTTGCTGCCTGTTGTTTCTCCAGAAGTTATTCCTTATCGCAGTGCCAGCCTTTGTTACAGAAACCAAAACTGAGAAACCAGTTCAAAACCTGCACAAATCCAAATAAATACATTTAAAGAGGCCATTTTAATAGAAAGTCTTTTCTAATTTTGCTGAATGCCTTGCATCCGAGGCGAGAAGCTGCACGCAGGATCTTGCAACTCATGTAGCTTACCTGGAAATGATGTGTATGTATTGCCTAGTAGAGGCTCTTAGCTACCATAAAGAGCCTTTTAATAAAAAAAATGTTGTACATTATTCCCTATTGCACCTTCTTGTTGGTGGGGTGTCATGAAGGAGCTGGGCGTGGCCCTGTGCAACTTCTTTTGTTCTTTCTGCAGGGCACGAGTCAGAAGACAGCATGTCCACGCTTGCTGGGCGAAGGGGGATGAGACCCAAAATGATGATGCCGTTCGACTCTCAGCCGCCTCAGCGTAAGTCCAGCCTCGGTGATTAGCCGCCAAGCTTCCTTGAGTCAGACCCATCTACAGTTCATCCCTTGTATTAAATGGGGCAGGGGAAGGCACTATGGGGAAGGTGCTCTGAATCTTGGCTTCCGCCTGAATTCATTTCAAAACTAGGAAGAGGCAGGTGCTGTTGTTGCATACATTGGAGCGAAAGTTCATAAAGAAAGCGTAATATGCCATTGATCTGGAAAGAATGTAAAGCTGGAGTGTCAGGCGACAGCATCTCCCTACAATTGTTGCCCTTCTAGTTCCAGGCCACTGTTACAGCTGGAGCTGCGTGGCATTTTCAGAAAGCCGCCTGTTCTCCATTACAAATTAGTTCCAGGAGGAGGCTGCTTGTGGGGGAGAAGAAACAAGAGGAGGAGTGTTTACCTTCCTCCCACCTGGCCAGGACTCCAGAACTGTATTTGGAGTGGGAATGTGGGCTGGCGAGGGAGTTGGGGGAAGGAGGGAGGGAGGGGAAGGCTCTTCAGCAAAAAAAAAAAAAGCGGTGAGCATCTCAGGCCATGATCTTAAGACCTTGCCTTGTCAGCCTCCTGTGTGAAATACTGAGCAAGTATGTTCAGATTTAGAGCAAGGGCTGCAAACTGGACTTCCTTGGGAAGAAGAGGCAAAAACTGGAAGCAACCTGTTGATGGCACAAGAACCAGCAGTTGTTTAAATGGGGCTCTAGCACCAGTCATAGCACAGGCAGGGAGCAGACAGGCAGTGTGGGAGTTGTATTTACAGAGCTGCAGATCAATTTTAGTTGGTGCACAAGGTGAAGGATGAAAATGAACAAAAGTCATGTGCTGCTTACAAGACAAGGCCTTAAGATCCCCCTCTCCTTTAACATCTAGTCTGTTGAAAAGTTCTGAAGGACTTGAAAACTGGCACACTGTTTTGTGTTGTTTTTACTTGGTCTTGACCAGAGATATTACATTGCTTTTGGTCTTAGATTTTGCTTTGGGCCAACGCAGCTCCGTGCAGCCTCTTCCTACATAAAACATTTCCCCGGTTATTTTCTCTTATGCCTGTATTTGTAGCAAGCACACACAGCTAAGTTCTCTGTGCCTGTGACTTAGCCTCAGGGCAAGGAAAGGTAAACAGAAGGAGATAATTGCTCCTTCCAAAGACAAAAGCCATACACAGTAAGCCTTGATCTGGGGGTGGGGGTGGGGGGAGGAATGCAGGTATAGTTTTCTTGACAAGACAGAGAAGCAGGATTCTGGTCCAAGATAACCTGCTCCGTACTTGGAGGAGAGTTTAATCAGCAATGAGCTGATTATGTCAAACGGATCTTTAGGTTATTATTCTTAAATGCTGCTTCATGCTGCAGATCAGGAGCTTTGACACCTCGTGTACTTCCATGACTATTTCCCCCAACAGTTATTTTTTAACCATCATGTAAGCAAAGGGGGTTGCAATTTAAAGGGGGGAAGCTAATGCACAGTAGAGGGGCTACTTAACTTTCCCATCATGTAGTTATACCACAAAAAATTCGGAATCCCAAGCTGGTGAACAGCAGAGATATTTGTTTATTTTCCTCAGCTGTGGTAAAAGCAGCTTGTCACCCCTGGGTCACCTGGGGCAGTTTGCGGTACAGACCTCATCAACAGATCGCCTTGTGGTCAAGCCTGACTGGAATAAAATGAGATGTGACACAGGCTCATGTGACCCAAGTGAAACACAGCAACTCTCCAGTGATACTTGCTCACATCCCTTTAAGCAGTCAGTTTATCTCTGCCCAGTCATGTGCATACATCTCACTCGTGTAAGCAGAAAACTGAATATGTTGTAGGCACTTCCACAAACCAATGGTCTCCATTAACTAGGGTATGTTTTTTTGAACTCTGCGTTATGGGTACACTGGGAAATACAGAATTCTGAGATAAATCAGGCAGATGATGGCCGATTGCTGCCAGAGGACGTACTGATGGCCGCGGGCACAGACGGCTTTAAAAGGGGATCAGACAGATTCACGGGGGACAGCTACTAGCCATGGTGACTAAAGGGAACCTCCACATTCAGAGCCAGTTTGGTGTAGCGGTTAAGAGTGCAGACTCTAATCTGGGAGAACCGGGTTTGATTCCCCACTCCTCCACATGCAGCTGCTGGTGTGACCTTGGGTCAGTCACAAGTTCTCTCAGAGCTGTTCTCTCACAAGCAGTCCTCAAAAGAGTTCTCTCAACCCCACCTATCTCACAGGGTGTCTGTTGTGGGGAGGGGAAGGGAACGGAGATTGTAAACTGCTTGGAGACTCCAAGTGAAGGGCGGGATATAAATCTGATCCCCCCCTCCCGGAGGCAACATCAGGGCAAGGTGTTGGCTTCTATGCCCTGTTGTTGGACCACCAGTGGAGCTGGTTGGCCACTATGTGAGACAGGATGCTGTACTAAATGGACCCTCACTGGTCTGATCCAGCAGGGCTCTTCTTGCATTCAGAGCGAAGGGACAGCAAGAGCCTGACCATAGCTCTCAACAGCAGTGTCTCTGAAGTGTGTGCGATATCTTGCCTCCAATCCCATGAGTGTGAGCATTAGCAGTAGACACTAGTGCAGGGGTGGAAATGATTGTTCCTATTCCTTCAGTGGCACAAACTAAAATATTTTTTTAATAGCAGCATACATTTAATTTAGGTATGCTGCTAGTAAAATGCCATATCTGTTCAGGGAAGGATTTCATGTGCTTGTTTTTTGGGGGGGGGCTGGGAATAAAATGGGGCAAAGTGAACAGGGGGATTTAAACAGTGAAGGGCGCAAGACAACAGGCATGAAGAGGAAAAGGAAGGGATTGGCTGTAGTTGACAGTATAGGAGAAATTGTGTGGAGAGACAGAAACCACAAGGTGGAGGTAAATATTTTTTTTAGTTGATTATGAAGAAACAAAATACTCCTAATTAATGTGATCCAAATTAGTCACTTTGACCTAAAAACTCAGAAGCCTTGGAAGCTGCGAAGAAACCAAATTCTCTATGCAACGCTAATATACAAAAACGTTTGTTTACAGAAAACCAGAGCAGAATATCTGCATTTCCCTAGACTGTGGGGAATGGGATAAACACACACCTCACATGGGCATCAGGACACTGTGACTATCCTGAGGATCATCTGTTTAAAAATAATTTATCATGTAACAGAAAATATTTTACCATTGCATCGTCCTTAACCTTGCTATATTTTAAGCTGGCAGAAAATGCAGCTGTGCAGTTTCCGATTTCCCTTCAGGGTGGTGGTGATCTGTTTTTTTTAAAAATATATATATTTGTTTTAGGTGTGTTTTTTTTAATCATAATTTGTTTTCTTTTTTCTGTGCTGTTTGGTTCTTCTGCTTTGGCCTTGCGTAGGCATAGCTCCTGCCCTGCCCTGGATAACCCCAGGCTGGCCCGATCTCATCAGATCTCAGAAACTAAGCAGGGTCGGCCCTGGCTAGTATGTGGATGGGAGACCACCAAAGAATACCAGGGTCGTGACATGGAGGCAGACAATGGCAAACCACCTCTGAACACCTCTTGCCTCGAAAACTCCCTTACAGGGTCACCATAAGTCAGCTGTGACTCGATGGCAAGGAAGAAGAAGAGGAGGAAGAAGAAGACACGGCACCTAACCTTGTTAACAGAAACCCTGGTTAAAAAATTGGCTGCAAGCCTCGATATGAAGCCATGGCTTGCAGAAACCATGGCAGGGTCATGTTTGCCATTATCTGTAGTGACGAAGCAAACCATGGTTAGCATTAACCATGGTTACTCATTATGGCTCTTCTGGGCTCCTTTCCTTAATTTGCTGCTGTTCCGATTTCTGATTTTTATCATTCTTTTCTCTTCCACCTTCCCCATGTTTGTTTCCAACTTACTTTTTTTGTTGCAAAATTTGTTTTTGTCTTTTTGTGACTGACCTTGCAAACATTTATGTATACCGTTGTACTTTACTAAGATGTGAAATTCTAAACTATGAGCTTAGGCGTAGCAAATATTTGATCTAGTCAAAATTGGATCGGACTTGTGTTTGCACGGAGCTTGCCCTTACAGGTGCCATTACATTTCCAGGGAGTTCAGTCCTCTTTTCCTGCAACAGTTTTACACAAGTTGAGTTCACATTCAACTCACACTGGCTCATTTCCGAAAAGAACACGTTTCTTTAAGGAAGTATATGGAAATACGTCGCTCTTGGTGCAGAGGGTTCAGAGAAGGCAAATGTAATGTAGTGCAGGACAAAAAGCCGGAGGCTGAGATTCTTGCATCCCACGACCCTGCAGATTTCATGGCAAAATGGACTGTATTGTTCCTTGGATCCTGTCTTGCATTGTTGGTGAATGGGTGGGGTGGGGGGGCGCACTGCTGGGTGCGTGCTGTTTTGTCTGTGTTAAGCATTTTTCTGTCTTGTGTTCATTCGCAGCTGTGATTAGTGCTCATCCCATCCATTCCCTTGATAACCCCCACCATCATTTCCACTCCGGCAGCCTCGCTTCTCCAACCTGCAGCTATCTCCATCATCAGGCAAATCCATGGCCAGTTGGCCCATCCGTGTCCCATTCAGACAGGGCTAATTCCACAGGTGAGAAGAGTGACCTGGGCACGGGTGTTTGGAAGGAAGCCATTGAGTGAAAGAGAGGCGGAGACGAGAACCTCTGAGGACATCACTCTCCCGTGTTGCTTTTTTGTTGGGGGAGGGAAGGGCGTTTGTATGGTCTTCCTAGAGATGTTGGATTGCATTTACCAGGAAACAAGTTCTAGCAAGCTCAGTAGGACTTGTTTTCTGTGCACGTGTGCGCAGTATCGGGCTGCTGGCTTTTGCAGTTTCCCTTTTCTGTTCCCCGCATTGTAGACATTGTTTGATGTGTTTGCTTAGACGTTATTGCAGAGTTGTGCTGAAGCCATGCTTTAATGTGTAATTGTTGGACGCCTTCATCAACTCGAGTCCTGGGTACAGCGCTTGCCATTTCAGTGCTGGAACTGAACCGAGCCAGGAGCAAGGAAATCAGCTTTCCCAGAGTTAGGAACAAACCATAGTCCTTTCAAAAGTTTGTATCAGACGAACGCTTCCCATGTTACAAAAAAAGAGGGTAGCAATGCCTTTTTAAAGAGGTTGTTTTGTAACTTACACACCGAAGGCCTGCCTTTCCTGTCTAATCTGCAGTTGGCATTTAATCAAGCACAGCATGAACATTATTAAGGTACTGATAAATTGTGCTTAAGCAGCAGATTAGTTACACAAGCAGGCATTTTCTGTTTTAAGAGCCAAGGATTAGTTTGGCTTCTTGAAGTACATGTAGAAAATCTTGACAGTTGCTTCTCAAGGGGTTCAGCCCTTAAAAAGCTTGAGGCACTGTTAGCTGCACCGGGTTGCGCTTTGGGGAAATCATCCAGCTAGAGTTAAAAATGGTTAAGATTTCTTGCTACAGAATCCCAGACCTGTGGACGGCTGATCGTTCTGAATGGTAAATAAGGCCCCGCTGTCAGCAGAGGATTGCATCCAAGTGTCCCAGTTGCCGGGGGGGGGGGGGGGGGGTTTTTAGGGTTTTTTTTTTTTAAAAAAAAAAAAATCAAGCACATTATGACAGGCATATATACAAGGACTGCTGTGTCTGAGGCATTATTGCTGTGCCATGCCCTCTATGTGAAACACATAAAGGAGAAAAGAAGCAAGATCCACTTGTAGTACTACACGGTATTTGTATGGCCGTGGAGAAATTATATGACCCTAGATCAGGGGTCCCCAACATGGTGCCCACGGGCACCATGTCACCCACTGACCACCTTCCTTGGTGCCTGCCAAGTGTTTTGAGGAAGCGGGTGGGGCCAGGTGAGCTTCTTGCCCAGCAGGGCTTCTGGTTGGCCACTGGAGAGGTTAGAGTAATGTTGCTTCAGCAACAGCTGTCATCACAGTGTTGGTTTTAATCTCTTACTCCTCGTTCCTGGTGTATTTTTTAAATTACCCCTCCGTTCCCCTGCGCTTGGGCTTCAGCCGTTTCACGGTTGCGCCCTCTGCCCTGTGTCACAATCCCAAAGGTGCCTACAGATTCGGAAAAAGTTGGGGACCCCTGCCCTAGATGTTCAGTGGCTGACACGTCCTGAACTCTTAATTTGGTTCGACCCAAAGTTGGATGTCGGTCCTCCGTCTCTCCAGATCAGAATTTAAATTAGCTTCATTCCTGGGCCATCTGTTAAGGATGTGAACAGATAAAGCTGCAAAACGACTTTGTTGTCAAAGGTAATCTCTTGTTTAATTAGAGCGCTAATGACTTTTCTTTATACCACTGAGCTAAGTAAACTTTGGTAATGGACTGACTGCCATATGCACCTCTTAAAATAACACCCGTAACAGGGAAATAGACAGGGTCTAAAGTACCTGCACCTAGCAGCACTGACAGGATGAAGCCTGGGAACTTTTCCAATTAAGAAAGTGGCTCTCTAGCTAAAGATAGATGAGGGAGAAAGCGGTCTTTTAAATCAGCACATGTTTTTAGACTCTGCAAGGAAGTATTGGTGTGAAGCAAGACCCGGGCAGAAAGGGTCAGCAGCCCTGTCTCAAAAGGATCTTGCCCAGACAGTGAAACGGAAGGCAGCCTAGGGGTTCACATGAGTGCATTCAGCGGACTGGAGGTTCCTATCTTTCTTCTTCAAGCAGCTGGACTTGCTCAGTATGTAAGACCCACTGCGAGGCGACCATTTAACTACCTAGTTCCAATAAAGATATCTGGCAAAAGAATCTGCAGGGACTCGAGTGTTAGCGGGACAGTTCCACGGAAGTAAGAAAAGGAACTTTCCATTTCTTCCCTAACGTAGAATCTGTTCGGAACACACCGAGCACAGATACCATGCCAGCCTCCTCGTCTCAAACGTGTTGTACTGACCACCAAGAGCCAGAAAGTGCCACAGGACCTTATCTACCCAGTACTCAGGAGGAGGAGCCGGGCCAGAACCTCCCTACCGCCCACGTGCGTCCCTCCCACCCTCTGAAGAGCTTCGCTGTGCCAGCGGTCCCACCCATGGGGGCAACCTACGACCCGGCCTTGCCAAGCACACCTTTGTTATCCCAGCAAGGTGAGTACCGGCAAATGGATGCTGCAGAAAGAAGGGGCAGTTGAAAGGTCTTGCCAAACAGGGGAAGGCGGGGAGATAGCAGAGGAGAGGAGAGTTGCCTCTTGGTTAATGGTGTGAGAGGACATCATTTTACTTCCAGTGTTGTGGGTTTAAAGCAAGGCTCCCCAACGTGGTGCCTGTGGCTGCCATGGCACCCACTGGTACCTTTTCCGGTTCCTGCCCAGGTGTCTTTAGAAAATGGGCAGGGCCAGGTAGGGCTTTTGCCCAGCAAGGCTTCTGATTGAGCCCTGGAGAGCTGACGGACTCTGCAGATGTTTAAATATGTTCTTTGGCAGCAGCTGTCACGACAGCACGAGGATCTTCACTGTGTGACTGAAGGTAAGCTGCAGCAGCCATTTTGTGCCTGGCTCCGCCTCCTGCGGTAGCCATTTTGTGGCTGGCTCAACCTGCGGCAGCTATTTTGTGGCTGTGCCCACCACATCATGTCAGAATTCCAAAAATGACTGTAGGCTCAAAAAAGGTTGGGGTCCCCTGGTTTAAAACACTTCTCCTTGCTAGATTTTTTTAAAAGAAAAATTCCAAGATCGCCTTTTGGATTATTTTATCATCCCCTCCCCACCAAAAAAAGGGGGGGGGAAGGAGTTCTCTCAACTAGGGATAGATTTTATTGCCTAGTGAAACACCTTTGTTTCCGGGCCAGCTCTCAGTGTGAATCACCCTGACATTGCTATCTCCCCCCCCCCCCCCCACGGGGGACTAGTTGTTTGCCACGTGTAAGAAAACAAATGTAAGATGGTAAGTGATGACTGGGGGGGGGTGTCCTTGGCTTGTTAGTGTATATTTGGTACAGCTGCCAAGCAGGGCCAGCGAAACCCAAGTGGGCACCATTTCATATTCGGGGGATTCAAGGAGTCCTCCTCAGCAGCCGGCCAGATGGTGGCGGCTACAAGCATGGATGGCTTCAAAAGGGAATTAGATAAGCATATGGAGCAGAGGTCCATCCGTGGCTATTAGCCACAAGGTATAGATAGGGGCTCTGGGGCAGGTGATGCTCTGTCATCTTGGTGCTTGGGGGGGGTCAACAGTGGGAGGGCTTCTAGTGTCCTGGCCCCACTGGTGGACCTCCTGATGGCACCTGGTATTTCTGGCCACTGTGTGACACAGAGTGTTGGACTGGATGGGCCTTTGGCCTGATCCAACATTGGCGTCTCTTATGTTCTTATGATTTGCGACCCTCTCAGAACTATTTAAGATGCAATTTGAGATTTCTGGTCTTGCAAGAAATCTGGCAGGTATAAAATGGGGTGTTACCTAAGCAGAGCTTTCTGAGAGCCAACCACAGCAATGCTTGTGCTTAAGCCTCCAGCCATCCCGTTCATTCAGTGAAGACGGCATCCATTGGCACCCTAGGGAGAACTCGCCCCCCTATGCCGGTCGTGGTCCCAAGTGCCCCTGAAGTGCAGGAAACCACGAGGATGCTGGAAGACTCAGAAAGTGTAAGTGTACTCCCAGAAGGTAACGTAACCCTAATGAGTGTAAAATCAATCATAATTCAAATTAATTGCGTTTGAGAGAATTAATAAAATGACACTCCCCCCCCCCCCCCCCAGCTTAAAGCATTTGAATGAACCCTGTGTTAACTTTGTGGAATTATTTTTCTCCCCCCAATTAGTCTTTTGTCCTTTACAGGGAAGCATGATTATTTTACTTTATTGCCATTTGGGGAGTTCACTCTATAAATGCCATGACCTGGATGGTCACAGCTAGCTTGGCCTGATCAGATCTCAGACGCTAAGCAGGGTCGGCCCTGGTCAGTACGTGGATGGGAGACCACCAAGGAAGTCCAGGGTCGCTACGCATAGGCAGGCAAGGGCCAACCACCTCTGAACGTCTCTCGCCTTGAAAACCCCACCAGGGGTCATGATAAGTTGCTGCGACTTGATAGTGCTTTCCACCACCGTTCTGTAAGGACCACAGACCTTCATAAAATGCAAGCCACTTTCCCTGCTTAAAATGCATGTGATAACAGCAGGGCTCTGCGATATTTTTAAAATTCATTTGTAACATTTCATATTTTTTTTTTAGCAATGGCATGATTCCCATGGCAGTGTTTAAAGATTAAAATCAAGCCTTCGTGCAATAATCTGTATACCGTTAGCTGCGTGTGCCCATGATCTGCAGATAGCTAAATCTGTGGAACAGCACTGCACAGAGGCTAAAGAGGTTTTCCTGCATGCTTGGTGGACTCCCCAGGTGTGCAGGGAAAATCTGAAATAAAAAAAAATTAAAGGGGGGGTTTAAATCCCTGAGAAAGTAAGTTAGTGTGTTCTGTGCACAGCCGTAAAGGAATGCATCTAACTTTGGAGACGGTGGTGCTGGGGAGCTGCGGGGACAGCAGCTACGCAACCTGGGGTTCTGAGCTGGGTCTGGCGGCAGCTACACCACCCGGGAGATGTGCCAGGCATGCTGCCGCCAGAGCCCAGGAGCCACGCTAGGCATGTTGCCACTGGTGAAACAGCCTGGGAGTCATGCTGGCCACAGGCCCAGCAAGAAAGTGGGAAGGGAGATCCCGTCTCAGGCCTACACTTGTAATTCCTAACTACAAAACCAATGGATAAAAGATACCCTAGAAAGCTGCTGCCACTCAGAGTAGACAGTAGTGGGCTAGAAATTGCGTGGAATCTGTGTAGCCCATGGGCTCGTAATAGAACCAGTGTTCCCTCTAAGCTGAGTTAGTGTGAGCTAGCTCACAGTTTTTTAGCCTCTGGCTCACACATTTTTGTCTTCGCTCAGGAAGGATGGCTCCAGAGCAGACTAATTTATGCAGTAGCCAAATCGCTCGCTCACAAATTTAATGCCGGTAGCTCACAAAATAGAATTTTTGCTCACAAGACTCCACAGCTTAAGGGGAGCATTGCATAGAACGCTCCATGGTTGCGTTTCTTTTGAAAGTTTCTAACTCTCATGAAAAACTGGTATAAGATTGGGAACAAACAGAGAGAGTTCATCTTTTAGATATTTCTGAGGCCTTCCGTGAAAATGTTCCAATGCCTGGCCCAAGGTTTTCCCGTGGGTTCCAGTGTTTTAAAAGTCTAGTGGTCATAGAAAGTGCCGTAAAGTCACAGCTGATTTATGGCACCCCGTGGGGTTTTCCAGGCAAGGGACGTTCAGAGGTGGTTTGCTATTGCCTGCCTACGTGCCATGACCCTGGTATTCACTGGAGGTCTCCCATCAAAATACTAGCCAGGGCCGGCCCTCCTTAGCGTTGGAGATCTGATGAGATCAGGCTAGCCTGGGCTATCCAGTTTATTGAAGATTTTTTTTTTGAAAACAGAATCAAGTGCAGTTTGTCATCTTCCAGAAATATGAAAATAAGATGCAAATTTTGTTAACACACACAAGCAAATTGCTTCAGCAGTGGCATCCTCAGTAATGAGGGTCTTTCCCAGGTAGCCCCTTAAACGGAATATTTCCCCCACTAGGGGAAATGCCCATTGCGGGAGGAGGCAACGAGCCTAGGGAGAGCCGTCGGCTTGGGTCAAGGGGGCTGGGCCCGGTCCAGGCCGGCGGAGTCCCCTCCAATGCAGGGCCTGCAGCCTGGCCAGCGAAGGCCGCCCCGTGTGACGGAAGGCCAGTGTGGCCGTCAGAAAAAGGCCTCGCGCTTGGCGGGGCCACAATCTCGCCACACTGAAGGACTTTGCCTCTCACCGTCGGAGAGGTAGGAGAGCGAAGACGTGCGCGGTCAGGGCAAGTGCCTCAGGCCGCGCTGGATCGTCGTCGCGTGGTGCATGGAGGCGGTGGTCGGTGCGGCGGGAGGGGGGCTGCTGCCTACCAGTCCCCGGGCTCAGCGGCCGCCTCCCCCGTCCCTGAGGCCAGGCGGCCCCGGCGCAGGCCCCCCCCGCCACAGACGGTGGTGAAGCGAATGAGCTGCTCACAGTGGCGTCCACTCACAGCGTTCGCCTCCCGCCTCCCAGCCAATGGCACGCCAGCAGCCTTGAGCGGCAGCTGGTGGGCCAATGGCTGACGGTGCACATTTTTTCTCTGCTCCCTTACTCAATTATATATATAAGGAGAGATTCCTGAGACTCTCAGCCTGGCAAACGCACATTCCCAGCAAGTTTAAGAAAGCAACCGGTAGATGTCTAGAATCATATGTCAGGGTCCTGGGTATAAAACAGTTGATCGTTGTTGTTTTTTCTCTTTCCTCTTCCTGTTTTTTTTTACCCCTTCAGTCACACTTCTTTCTCATTAATTTACCTTCTCCGTGTTCGCATTTCTGATGCTACATTGTTTGTCTGGGGTTTGCGCACGTGCCTGATTCTGATGGTGCTGCTGCCCACCTCTGTCTCCTTGCATTGCTTGTTTTTGGAAAATCAAACAAAAAAAACAGTGGGATGGGGAACATCCAATTGCCTACAGCCATACCACCCTGAATACGCCCGATCTCGTCTGATCTCGGAAGCTAAGCAGGGTCGGGCCTGGTTAGTACTTGGATGGGAGACCGCCTGGGAATACCGGGTGTTGTAGGAACATCCAATTTCTGTAGTGACACGGGTTCATCTGTAAACGTGGCTTGGCTGCCCCCATATCAGAACCACTTGGCCACAGCTCCCTTCTCTCCCCCACCCCCCACCCCCCTTTCCCAGAACAGCGCAGCTCATCTTGTCCAGTAACCCTGTTAAATCTCCTGCAGAATTATGAACCGGATGAGCTGACCAAAGAGATGGCCCACCTGGAAGGACTCATGAAGGACCTTAATGCCATCACAACAGCATGACCACCTTCCCCAAGACATGACTCCAAACCCTGCTTTGCAGGACTCGGGACTTAGCCTTGGGGCACAAGGACAAGAAATTGTACAAAGACTGTAAAGGGAGAGAGACAGCACAAGAGGGACACGCCGCCAGCCGCAGGAGGAGCCGTGTGTCGCCTGCTGGTTTAGCCAAGTGAATTTTCTGTTCGTTCCCCTGAAGCAAACCTGTTGGGAAGTTGGATCCCACTTCCTGCTGTGACTCCCGCCCACAAGAGGAGGGGCTCGGGGCGGGGAGGGCCCTCGGGCTGATGAGATCCAGCGTCCAGGCAAAGAAGCGGACTTTGCGTTCATTTGAGTCGGGTTTCGTCTCGGTGCTGTGACCTTCCCTGCTTTTCTTTTTTTCCCTCCAGTGTTTGGACATTCACATTTATGTACAATTTTATTTGTGTGTTTTTATTTTATTGTATCTTTTTTTATTAAAAACGGGGGGGAAATATAATCTGCAGAACGGAAAAAAAAAGATTTGTGTTGTTTCCCACAGCCTAGACGGATGTTCGATTGCTTGTTCTGTTGTGTACAGGAACTCATTGCCAGTGTGGGTTGTTCAGGGTTTTTTCTTTCGTTTCTATTGTGTGTATAATGACATCACTTTCCAGCAGTTAATCCAAGGCCTTGGGGAGATGCTGCATTGCTCTTTGTAAGCTTTTTTTATTTTTATATTATAAATATTAAAAGCCTGACTAGATTTCTCTCTTCATCACTGTGAGATTTAACTGTTTGGATTGCAATGTGACCCTGACAAGACTTGTTGCTTCTTCTTCTTCTTTTCTTTTTGTGACGTTTCGGTGCGTGGCTGTGTGGGGTAGGAATGGAGCAAGAAGCCACCCAGTGGTAGGAGGTTTCACTGATTTCCAGGAAAGCTTTCTTCTGTCATTCACCCAGGTGGACAAATGGAACCAAGTAATCCCAAATGGAGCGAAAGGGAATGTCCTTGATGGGGGGGAGGGGTACTTCGCCCATACCTGGCTATCATTAGAATTGCCACTGACTGTATTTGGGGTTACTCAGTCCACGTGTTACCTTGTAAGTACATACATTGTCGCCATAGATCAGAACGACTGGATGCAAGCGTCTTTTCCCACAATACGCTGCGCAAGTTCGTCATTCAGCGTCTCTGGTTCACCAGACCACATTTTTCACCGAGAGCTTTCCTCTTTCGTAGCGCAGGGCCTTTTAAAATTTAAAATTCAGATACCACAGTTTGCTTTAGCAGCAGACTGTTGTTTGTTTTACGTTTCCTTTTGGACACCAGTGCCTCTTAACATTTACACTGCGTCTCGGGTTTCATTCCAGATCTTTGAATGTACAAAGGTCAGTTGTCGATCACACGAGGGACGCCTGTCTTCGTAGCTGTTGCCGCATCCCAAAGCACAAAAAGTGTTGGCCCGTTCCGTCCAAGGCCCGCTTATTACCATTCTGAACCCTGGGATAAGCCACAGTAGAATAAAATGTCTTTGGTGACTTGCAAAGAATTAAGAAACACGGGCACCCACCGATGCTTGTGACTCAGGTACAGTTCAAGCCAGAGAGAAAGAAGCTAAAAAGAGATTCCCGATCGGCTAGTTAAAGTGTTATTTAGTCTGGGCTCTCTGCTCATTTGCTGCCCAGTCTGACACCCCGGCACGTCCAATGTCACAACATTCTGGGACGATGACTTTAATATAAATGAGATGCAGTTATAAAAAACTCCTTTCCCCAAATTGCTTAAAAGGGCTAGGGAAGGGAGGGGATGACATTGGGAGGGGTGTGTGTGTGTGTGTGTGACAAATTTATTGTCTAAGCCATTTTCTATCAGGGTTGGTGCTAGTGATAGAGACCAAAACAGCCCATAGCTTTTCGCAGGCCTTGAATTCCTTTTAACCCTCACACCATTCACGTTACTAGAAAACTTGAGGTTCTGAACGCTCAGCTCCTCTTCCTCCATGACAAGGCAGCATCAGTTTCCATTGCCAAGAAGAGAAGAACGAATTATTTCGTGCCCATTAATACTCGTAACATTGCCGTGGTGAATCCATCCAACAACCTATTTTTTTAAAAAATTCCAGTTATATTAAAAGTCCCATAAAATGAAAACTAGTCTATATAGGTTAATATTCTGTCTTCCAGTGATAGCCACATCCCGATGCCCTGGGAGAAGCTCATATGTAGTTTTCTCTCTACTGTGTTCTTCATCCAAGCAAGTTGACTGCTCACTTGTTGGTGAGATGCCTGTCGTAGGACCCAGCTGGCATACCTGGAAAATAGGGCCTTTGTACAATTCCGGACAAAACAAAAATCCAGATATTGGCCTGGATCCCGATTATCAGATCTGTGTACGCACAGTGCAGTTTTAACAGACTTTATGTGAAAGGAAGGGGGAAAGGTCACACCATTCTTGTTTCCCATAAAACCAGAAATCACTTCCTAATGAGGCAGGCAGGGTAGGGTACGTTAAAAGCCCAACTGGCATTCGCAAATGGTGCAGTGCGGTTCTCTGGGATGGGGCCAGTTGGAGCCGGTCCAGAGCCCTGTTCAATTGGTGGTGGTTGTTTTTTTAAACCATAATCCTCTTCTTGTGATAGGAAATGTCCTGTGCGATCCTTTTCCATTGTACATAACAATGCTTTTGTTAAAGCGGATAATGAAATCTTTTGTCTCTGTTGGGTCCTTGCTTGTGTTCACTGGATTCAGTAGGCACACGTCCTCCACTCCTAAGATGTATACATTTCTATTCCTTGTCTATACCCAAAGAAACGCCATTGTGTGTATTCAGTATTCCCCCACAGCTGGGTTTTTTTGTGTGTGAATATATTGCTACTTGCATAGGAACACCATGAATGTCAAATATTGCCATGAATCTGGGGGAAAGGGGGCGGGGGATATTTTTAAAATATAATAAAACAACTGTTCAAAGTTGGTTTGTTTTTTTTAAAAAAAAGGTTAATAAAAAAAGGAATTGTTTATTCAAGTCATTGTACAAATATGTATTGCACTTTCTTCCGCCTTTTAACACTGTTTTTTACATATCTTGTGATTTTAAATTTGGGACATTGTGTATCTCTCGTAGTGTCATAGCCGAGCTGCTAAGGGGCAGCTTCCTCCTGAGGAATTTGGAGATTGGGGGGGGGGACAACAATGACACAAAGCTTTGTATATTGTTTTACAGTTTTGATGTAGGGGAACTCGGAGGGCTGCTGTAAACTTCTACCTTTCTGTACATTTTTTCCTCCTGTAGTATTTGCTGTATACATTATACATTTTTAATACTGTCATGTTTATTATTTGGTATTGGACATCCAATACACTTTTTTAACCTAATCAAATTCTCATTTGGTCTACAGAGTTGTGTTTTTCCCCCTACGACTTTGCCCTTCTAATTTTAACCATGATGGGAATCTTGCAACGGTGAATGTGTATGTGCCTCTACTTCATGCTGTCCATAAGAGACAAAGGGATTGGATCCTATCAGTTTCTCCACCCGATTGTGCCCGATTCCCCTCCTGGCTACAGCTCCCGTCCTCTGTGGCTTCCATTTTACACAAATCTCATTATCTCGAGCCTTCTCTGTGGTCAAAAGGGCCCCCTCTTCCCTAGTCCACCAGAGGAAAACCTGGTAGGATCCAACACCAAAAGTGCTTGACTTGCACGTAAATGAACCTTTAATAATTTTTTTAAGAAAGTAAGTGGGATCACATCCTGTTAGGTTTCTGGTCCATAAATGAAACACCCTCAAGGTAAGTGATTTACCAGAGTAATCAGCCACTTGTTTTGCTGAACCCAAAAAAATCCCAGCCATTTCAGAAGAGAATCGTAACACAACACACAGCGGCAGCACGGGAGGAAGTCTTCCAACACCGAAAACTCTCCTCCCCATTCTTTTGCATGAACCCCTGCGCCACAATCCTACAGAATGCCCCATTCGTCCCCTGCTTCATCGCTGCCAGTCAGCTTGGCTGAGCAATGTTCCCTTTCTTGCAGGCTGATCTCCTGAGAGTAGCACTTCCCAAGAGGATATGCGCACGAGTTCTCGTTCTGGATCACCGGACACCGGTATCTGTAAGGCTGTGTTTTGCTCAGTTTATCTGCCTCTTCCAGTTCATCTCCCCAGAACAGAACCCATTCCCAAGTCTGGCAAGGGGAGGGGGGGAGCTTCTCTGAGCTGTGTCCTCAGGAACTCGTCAGAAGAAACAGATTCAGATTTACCGTGTGTGTGTGTGTGTGTGTCTGTGTTATGTGTGTGTACACATGGTTCTAGAATTGGCATCAGCAGTGTTCCTGAACAAACAAGGAACCATAAACAGCAGTGTGGGTCAGTGTTCCCTCTAATCCGAGTTAGTGTGAGTTGGCTCACAGTTTTTTAGCCAGCTCACACATTTTTTATCTCAGGAAGGATGGCTCCAGGGCAAACTTAATTTATGCAGTAGCCAAATCGCTCGCTCACAACTTTCATTCCAGGAACTCACAAAGTAGAATTTTTGCTCACAAGACTCCACAGCGTAGAGGGAGCATTGGTGTGGGTGTCCAAACACCTTTTGCTTGGAGTTGGAAATGCAGAAGTTAAAAGAAGCTGTTGCACAGAATAACCTGCCCCTAGCCCTGCATACCTTTCTGCTTCAGTGGGGATATTTTCTTTCAGTACACTGCCGTGTGCTTAAGGTCCCTTAGAATCAGCAGAGAGCATTTCCTAATCCGAACTGTGCCTGGCTTGGAGGGAAGGGCCGGCTATGCCGTGATGTAGACTCACAGGCACGCCTTCCCCGATCCAGTGATATCTTTGGGTTTGCCCCTTCCTTGGAAAGTCTCGTTCAGCTGGCCTTCCATAAGGAGCCCCATGCCTCGTAGATGGTGGTGGAAAGTGCCATCAAGTTGCAGCCGACTTACAGGGACCCCATAGGGGTTTTCAAGGCGAGAGACTTTCAGAGGTGTTTTGCCCTTGCCTGCCTCTGCGTAGTGACCCTGGACTTCCTTGGTGGCCTCCCATCTCAGCACTAACCAGGGCCGACCCTGCTTAGTTTCCAAGATCTGAGGAGATCGGGCCAGCCTGGGCCATCCAAGTCAAGGCATGCGTCGTAGAAGGCGGGCTGTATCATCCCGTGATTACAAGGAAAGGCTCGAGTGTTCGTCATAGTCCAAATAGATCCTTTAAACGAGGGATAGAGCTTTATTTTGTACCTAAGTACAGCTCCATGCGTGATTAGTTTAATCATTGCTAAAGTGGAAGGAGGATAACGACACAAGAAGGGCGGCCATTTTTATCTGTTGCAGAGATATGCAGAGCAGCTGCTTTCTCCCTGTGTCTGTTGAGTCACAAATTAGATTTCTGGGCTCTCCCTGACTACTTCCTCAGAAAGGGTGTTTCAAGAAGTCAGCCCCTTCTGAGAGGTTTGTGGACTCGAACGTGAATCTTCTGACCCAAGTAGGAATTAATTGCTTTCATTATGTCGATCAGAGAGAGGGTGACACTGGGAACTGTGGGCTTGCCTGTCCCCACACTAGGTGAGCAGGCAGGCTTCCCCCAGTCTGGTTTTGTGCCCAGTCAGTCGGTTGCAGGGGATGCCTTCCTTTCCTCCAGGGCTTTATTTTGTCTTCCCTGAATTAAATGTTTTTTGCCAGTTGAGATAGCT